AATAAAATAAAATGTAAAAACTCTCGGCCAACCCTAATCGACAGACCCTTTTAACGTGACATTATATTCTGTTATTATAACGAAATCAGATAACGATAGAGAGAGAGAGAGAGAAAGAAAAACACACACATAATCAAATATACCCCTCGCTGAGATGAACCCTTTCCGCAACGACCAACTGCCGTCTAACGCGCATGCGTGCGTGCGGCGGCTATATACCTACGGTTTTTGCAGGAATTGTTATTTTTCTTAGCGTACTCGCAATAGATACCTATATATATATTATTTTCATTAGAGTGTTTATCATCACACGCCAGCTGACAGCCATCAACGACGCAATCGCGTCCGATGCATTATTACACGGTACCTTGATAATCTTGATACTTTTTTTTTTTTTTTTTTATTATCATTAAATATATTTTCACACTCAAAATAATATTAAGTTGAATGAATCATACTTTATTAATAATTTGCCAAAAAAAAAAAAAAATACAATAGAACTGATTTGTAAAAAAAAATCCAACGAGAGGTGGGTGGTTTGGCAAAATGTATATTTTTCATTGTGTGATTTAACCCTCCAACCATGAACAATTGTATTATAATAATATACAATATTCGCGTGTACGACTATTTAGCGACAGTATGCCTCGCGAAAAGTATAATCATATTTAAGTATCTTCTTTTATTTTTTGAACAAAATCTTTTATGCGCTGTCAAAAACTCCGAAATCGACAAATTGACCAAGAAACGGACTAGACTGTATGTTTTTCACTTTACATCTCCGATACTATTCGCTATAAACGTGTTCGCATAAACGAAATAAATGTGATTGAGGCCGAACAGTAATAATGGGTAATCAATAACATAATCAAAAAAACGGATTTATGAGTAAATGCATACATTTATTAAAATAAATATTTGAAATCTAATAAGTAATGTCCATGGTTTAAATCTTATTCTTATTAAAATAATGCTAACTTTATTTTAATGTGCATTTGTAATTTAATAACAAACAATTTTATTAGTAATAATTATTTGTATTCTGATTATTTTAGTGCAAACAGGTAAATATGTTAAATTTGAATTCGATATCAAACTAATAAAATATTGATACGTGATATTATTAGAGATAATTAAAATTACTATTGGTCGGCTAAATAACTACAATAAAAACAAATAATAAGATTTCCATACACCTTTTTTTTTTCCATACAATAATATCTAATACAATGCATCTTTTTTTCTTTGAGCTGTATTCAATTTTGATTGCATTTTTATAGATAAATGGACTTTTCGTAGGGTTTTAAAGTATTTTTATACGAGCACATTTTGTGCGTTTATCGTACAAATAAATTAGTTCCCAAATAATATAATTCGTAATTATATTGTTGTCCAGGTTTACAAAAATGCGGTTACACGGTATAATTGTTCTTTTTTTAATATGCGACGCTGTCTTCGAAATACCCATAAAAATATCAGTCGTCCTCGCACGTCAGGAAAATTCGTAGACCAGACGAGTCGAATGTACGCGTTTCAGCACTCGAGAGATACAATAGTCGTTTGACGATTTTAATAGAGTAAAAAAAAAAAATTGTACTCGATTATAGGTAAACTTATGTATAATATACGAGTATAGTGTGTAGGTATGAATATTACACGAAAACGTATTAAAAACATTGATCTTCAGCAAAGTCTCGGTAAGGACGTCAAGAAGAAAAACTATATATTTTCAAAAGTTTGTGCCATAATGTCATTTTCGTTATTCCTTTACACCGATGTGATTGCACCGCGGTGCCTATGTGTTTTCTGCAGTCGCCAAAAATAAAAAGCTATTTGATTAATAAATCACAAAATGGCAATGTGTTTACTTTTTATAAGATTTTAATTGAATAATAAGAAAAAAAATGTGCGTCAAATGTACGTATGATATATTTATATACACATATAAATTTAAACATCAAAGGTTTTTCGCCCTTTTTGTAAACGTCAATTTTCTTCTCGACCTTAAAAAAAAAATAAATAAATAAAAACGGATAAACGTATATAATATTTACGCTGGTCGCATTGAGAACGTTTTACGTTCCAGTAATCGGTAAATTGAGTTACGCTCTAGAAAAATGGATATAAATTGAGTTACCGAAGGTATTTTGTATTTCTCTTCATTCCGGGTTGTTCATATATAATAATCATGTTTATATAAATATATATATATATATATATGGTACATTTTGTTTTATTTTCTCCATGCGACGGTCATGCTGGTTTTCCTTGCCATGCTTTATTAAGTTTACTTTCATTTTTATTTTATTTTCTTTCACCTCCTAACCTAAACGTTTGCGATAATAATAATAATAATAATAATAATAATAAAAAGAAAAATCATTTTCTTTCAAACCTCTATGAAACTGAAAGGTGTGAGACATGTTTTTTTGTTTTTTTTTTTCTAAATTGCCAACCTCTTCGTGTTATAGGCACTCTGATCTTATCGCCATTTTCAGAGTCTATACACAATTGCCACTACACGAACCCATAAGAAATTCATGATAATACGAACACGTTTAAATATATTGTTTTCCTGTGCATTTTTTTTCATTTAATGTGTCTTTGGCAGACTTTTCTGTTCTTTGTGCTCGCATTTCTTCCTGATCTTTTATATTCTTTACCATCGAACTTTTCTCCTTCAAGTATTATATAAACGCATGCACGAACCTAATCTCGTCACGTTGAACACTATGATTATAATTAAGGTAATGTTCATTTTTTAATTCTACTAGAACGCCGTTATCTATAATATATTTCGATATCCTGATCACGGAAAACTCAGCGCAAATGAATGGGAGTTTGTAGTTTGTAACAAATTAAAGATAATTTGTACCACTGTAGGTAATCAAAAGTAGTGTTTGTAATTTTCACCCTAATAATGGTTGGTAATTTGCACCACCCTCAGGTAGTTGAAAGTACAATTTGTAATTTGCACCAAAATGAGTATCTATTTGTTCGATTATCGATTATTCGATACTATAATACAGTGGGCTCTACTTAATGTAGGCACCGGTTAATATAGGCATCCGCATAATATGGACACTCGTTTTGATTAGCCAAAATATTTATTTAACCATAAATACATATGTTTTACTTTTTTAATTACTGGTATAATCGAATTTTGTTGTATCTATGAGATTGTGTTTATTGAAAGTAATCAAAAACATAACCATTTAAACCTTAATGGGATTTTGTTGACTAAATAAAAGAAAAGTGATATAAATAAAGCCATAGACGGTACTGTAACTAGATAACAATAATTTCTGTCTTAACGTGAATTTCAACGTGATAATATGCCTCAAAAAGATCTCTTTCTAAAAGAAAAGAATCACGATTTTAGACCAAATGAAGTCGCTTTCTCCAGGCACTTCACAACCTTCAAATTTCAAAACAAAACTTCAATTCAAATCAAACTGGCAATCAATTATTTCGGGGCAAATTACAATCGAATTTCAAAAATATTAGTGTAAATTACACATGTATGTATTTCGGGTCAATTTTAGTGCAAATTGACTACAGGCAAAAAAATAAATACGATCACATGTACTCGACGTATTGTTAACGTATCTTTTACACGGAATCCAATATTGCTACAAGCACACACCGGAATCAATGTATTACGTACATATATTCATACAGGGGATGGATAAAATTCGTAATTACGTATATTTATGTCAGGTGTTCATGTTTTGTCCACCCCCTGTATGTATGTTATTAATTGTATTCGTCTTATATTCACCTACCTGTATTGGAAAACGATGCGCTTTATATTTCTGCCGTTTAAAGTAACTATCGGGACTTAATTATTAGAATTAACTGTACCATACAACACAGGTCATTCTGGGTGCAATAAATCACTGAAAGATATAAAACTTTCATGAAGAAAGTCTACGACGATAATGGATCTGAAATTAATAAATTACCACTACATATCTCCCATGTTTTATTTCTTATGTAAACCAGGTAATATTATAACATTTGCTTTTGCGTTTTTGTTAAAAGACTCATGGGACACATTAGTCTAAGAACACCATGATGCTATGAAGTTGTGTTGCTCAAGCGTTACAATACCGTTATTTTACTTGTATAATATGTTACTACAATTTACCCTAATTTCAACTCTTGAATAAACATACACGTATTGATATGATTTCCATGGGAGTTTTTATATTTCACTGTGAAAATAGTGCGAGTTTTCTCTATCCAATTCAATACTATATAATATATACTTTATATTCTTCTAACACCCTTTAAAATATATAGGCTGATAACATTGTAATTTAATACTCTTCGTATAGAATTTTATATCTCCTGTAAATAATGTTTGCATTCCCTTCAATAATTAAATTAATGTTATTTGTATTTTAATTTATATTATTTTAACACGTATCCCGTGTTAGACTTATTAAACGAATTCCGAAAAAAAAAATGTAAATACGTCTGCAAATTGATGGAAATTGAAATCACGTTATTTTTCAGGTGTTAAAAGTAAAACCTTACCGTCAATTGGATTTGTGTCAGATATAAGGCTATAAGAGCTTTTATATAAAATGACAATAAACCTTAGTTTTTTTCATTTCCAGACTTTCAGTTCTCGTATTTTTATTGTTCATCCTATTGTTTTATTCGTAAAAACTTATTGTAACGACTAGGGGATGATGTTAAGACGTATGTGTCAAGTTTTAAGAAAAGAAAAATTCTGGACCTGGCAATGTTATCGTTAACTTTACTGTACACATTGGGGTGAATCGCCGGGATAATAGAAGTGTTAAGCACCTAGAGTTTTAAGGTCAGCGCCTCGTCATATCTCCATAGAACAATTACAAGTTTGTTTCGCTTTACCTCCCTAACACCCCCGAACTACTAATAATTTAGAGAGCTGTTCTCACCGTTAACATCAACGTTCATCGATGGAAACCGACTTGACTTGAATCTTACCGGTCGTTGTGTGTTCGCAGGTGTGGTTCCAGAACCGGAGGGCCAAGTGGCGCAGACAAGAGAAGATGGAGGCGGCACGACTTGGCCTGAACGACTACGTGCACTCGACGATGACGGGCTCGTTGAGCCGAATGCCCGGCTCGAGCCTGGCGCTGCCGGTTGACCCGTGGCTGTCGCCACCGTTGCTGTCCGCGCTGCCCGGTTTCCTGTCGCACCCGCAGACTGGTTACCCGAGCTACCTGACGCCGCCCGTCGTGCACAGCCCGTCGTCCATGAAGTCACCGCCATCGCCGCAGCAGGCGGCCATCACGCCACCATCGTCGTCCTCGCTGTCCACGTCGTCGTCGTCCACCGCTTCCGCTGCCGACCCCAGGACCTCGTCCATAGCGGTGCTCAGACTCAAGGCCAAGGAGCACGTCGAGTCCATCTCCAAAGGCATGCAAATGGTCTAAGCCGGGCCCCCGCCGCAGCACCCAATCGCGTTGACGCGCGGTCACACGTGTAAATGTTGCGGTCAAAGTCCGACCGCCGCCGGTCGATCCTCGGTCGGATCGACGATCGACGTACGCAATCGAGAACCGTCAAAAATCCGAAATCTACTATCACTTTCGGGCTTCAACCGAACGTGTGCCAGGATGTACCTACGCATTTCATTGGTAAAAGCTGGACAAATATTAGAGCTAAAAATCGTTGTAACCTATCAACAATCGTTTAAACGGCATCATGCCGAATAACAATTTCCGCACGCAAATTTATAGATATAGTTTTTCAAAAACCAGTTTATCGTTTTGGGCGTATTCGGTTTTTACCGAATAAATGTGTAGCCTATTGTCAATGGCGTTGGTACAATATAAACTGTTTTGGGAAATGTAAATTAGTTATAAGTACACATAATCTTTCGACATTGTAACAATACCATATTATACTTTTGTTTTAAAGTTCCTTCGACGCTATCCGGGTTCTCGAATATTACGATCATTTGATATCGTACGGGGGGAAAAAAAAAACTGATTAAAATCGTTTCAAATATTGTATTGCTTTCGACATAGTTTGTATAATATAATATTTTAATGTTTTTTTTCCGTAAACGGGTGTACAAAAAAAAAAAAATCGGTCTTGAGGCCCCTCTACGATACTAATCAGGGGTGAAAATCCATTTGGGCTCGACCGGGAATTTCCAGGGTCTGCACACCTTTGGACGTCAGACGACATAAACTATATCGTTCTGGTACGTATACGTACGCAGTTTTAGGGTCAAAATAAAAGAGTCTTAAGAATAAAAACGTTTCGTTACTCGATCGCGACGATCGTGAAATGCATATTATACCTACTTCATTTGAACATCGTTTTAACCGGCCATCGAACTCCTCCCCCCCTCCGGTGATATATTTATCATTAATCCAAAGGTCAGCCAACCATATATTACACCATAAAGTTCCTTGTAGTTATATATCTGTCTGTTTAGCGTACGTGTGCACGTGCAGTCCTTCAACACTCATTCCATTGTAATTTATTTTGTTACCAAAAATTTTTCCGTCGTAGTTGTCGTCTCCGAAACCCCCGTGGCGGCTATCCTTTACTCACACCCGACAATACATTTATTAATAACATATATTATTTGTCAATTGCCGAATATATTCAAAATTTCGTTTGCGTTACGCTATAGTCAATTATTCATGATCAATCTATTCCATTTATTGTTTAAGTATTGTTATTGCTCCCCGATGGAAAATTAAAATAATTGAAATTGAAATTTATTCAACGTTATTGCACAACCGTTTTGCGTGAGATCCGCCACTGCGCACACCCCTTTCGTGTTGTCGCCGCGTTCTCGTCGCTTAAGACGTAACTCCTCACGTGCCCGAATGTGATTTTCGTACTGACCCTTAGGAGAGTGTAAAATTATTATTACTATTATTATTGTTTTCCATTATGATGTAATTATGTGTATATTAATATTATTGTCATATTTTGTTAAACTGTTCCTGCAAAGAAGTGGGAAAAAAGTGTATATTTAATCAATTGTAATAACTATTTAATACGTCACTATAATATTAAAATATTATCATAATATTATTGTATACGCTAAAAATCTGTACGCATTTCGAATCCTCTCATGTATAAACCGTACTTAATTAGATATTGTATATATGAATATATTTTATAGTAATGTATTTGTAAAATATGCATAAAATATTATAAAATATATGTTATATGTATATATTACTGTATAAGAATTAATAGAAATTAGGTATATAAGTAGAAGTTTTGTTCACGAAGTATTTGAAAAAAAAATAAAAAATATTGTCATATCTTAAATATTGTTTATGAATATTAAATTGAGCTAGTCATTTGAATTATTATTACTTTTAATAATTATTATTTTTTTTTTTTTAATAGCTATTAGTATTATAATAGATATATTCATTGAAGAGAAAGTCTATAAGGAAAAGTCAAGAGACTTGTAAATAATAATAAATAAATTAAATTAAATTAATTAAATCATAATAGCGATATGTTATCCTTAGAATACGAGTCCAATTGAATCGAAACAAAAAGTGAGTTTAGAAAAAAACTGTAGAAAAATGGATTTGCGTTCAATTTATTACCGATGAATAAAAATTTTTTTTATAGGCCATTAAGGCTTTTTGCCTTTTTCAATATTTTACTTAAACACAGAAATAATTCCATCCAAACGTTTGATATTTTAATATGTATCTAATATCAACTGTACCTATGCGAAGCAGGGATTTTCGAGCGTATTAAATCGTGCGAAAAACAAAATAATTATTATTTTTAATCCAGTTTGTACCATTTAATGTAATTTATGCCATTTATTGTCACAGCCCACGGACTATTGAAATCGCAACAGCAGTTTCGGGTACAGTAAAGAAAATTTTATGTTATCGTATTCAACAAGGGGCGGACTTCAGTTCGGTCCGTGAATTTTTTTTTTTTAAAGCCGCCTGAAAACCATTTTCTAACTTATTACACTATTTCAACATTTATTTTATAATACCACAATTTTTTTTCAGTTAAATATTCAAAACATGAACTATAACGCATAATATAAATACAAAACATGAATCATTTATCGAAGGATAAATAATTTATGTAAAGTGCTAAGTGATAAATCGAATTTTAATAATTATTCTTAGTGCGACAAATTATGTAATTACGGGCATTATTGTACCTAAACGTATTATTTGTAATTTAGAGATTTTAAATAAAGTAAAATTATTGTTGTATCAAAAAAATCCCAATGAAATAGAATTACGACCGAACTTTTGGACGGCCTAGCAGGAAATTTCCCGTTCTCCCCAACTGCCAGCCAGTCACCGATGAAGTTACTTCGTATCGGGTCGCACACGTACTGCGAATACTCATGTGTATTTGGTGCACGCGTTCAAACAGAACCCACTTAATTTATCCAGGGATGTTGATATTTAAATTCATCGGTTGGATGCTGTCCCGTTGCGGTGAGAATACGCAGTTTACCCGTCCTCGTTTCCGAACATTGTACCGTAGATAGAAAGTAATATAAACAGCACCAAACCCAATTAATTAAAATCAATTGGTCTTTGGCAAAGAGCTGTTTCAGAGATTCTTAATTTAGCGCGTTGCGCACCGTTCCGCCGCCGACCTCCCCGTCACATCGTATCCACCTCATTCATCCGTGCATCGCTCGTCCCCCCCCCCCCCGTGCAAGGATAAGAACATGGCAGGCAGTAGCGCCGTCGACGTTGCCGGTTGCCCCGCGGTTGAAACTTCTTCATTACTGGGCGGCAAACACTGAATTAGCATTTTATTAGCTTTTCCCGGAGCCGGAAAAACAACTGGCGCACAGGACACCGGCCTTTGATAGACCTTTGAGGGGATCCCAAAAACCAAGTCGTCTGGATGAAAAAGCTTCTGAAAGCAGCCAGCCTATCATCTAGTCTCCGGGCCATAAAACCACCCTCTCCCTCCGAGCCGTCCGATCCCTGCCGCCGTGCAAGGTAAACTCTGTTTTCGTTTCACCGCTTTCGCTGTCCCTCTTCATCCCTACCCCACGACCAAAATTACATTTTACCGTCTCTGCGCACACACACACGACCGTTTTACAAAGTTGTATTTTATTAAATCCTTAAATTAAATTTATATAGCTGCCCTCTTAAAGTATACAGTGCAACTTAGGTTATGGCTGACTATAACCAATGGAATTTATAATTTAATGAGACTTGAATATTTTATACTATCAATTCAATTACTGGAAATATTTTATAAAAAAAAAAAAAAAATGTACATTAGTCAATTATGTACATATATTTATATATAATATACATCGTTAAGATATTTTATTAGTGTATTACTAATATTTACATGGTTATCTTTTTTAAATCAATTTTATTTAATTTTATTAAATTATTTTATAATCTATTAGATATGATTTGACTAAAACTTTCATGGATCGCCAAAATAGTGTAATGTTATAGTTTACATACTTCTATGTCTTTAAAAATATATTCATGTATAGTATTATTACAATTTCAAAGATATAATTATGATTAAGAACTGCATTAATTAGATAAGAACTGCAATATTCAAATAATTTACAGATAGAGATTATAGAATACATTTCAAAACTGCAATTACATGATCAAATATCGATGAAAGTTATTAATTTATCAGTCAACATTTAATTTTTGAAATGATAAATTGAATACAAAAAGATAATAAAGGGGCGTAACAAGATTCCACCAAAAGTAGACCTTTCCCTTTTCCACCAATATCCGTTTACACAAAATAAGATAAAATACGTATACTTTTCATGAGTTTTTCGGAATGATGTAAGATATATATAAATATAAACACAATATAATCAATTTATATTGAATTTAATTGTATATTAAACCGATATCGTACTTATGTTTGTACTTTTACGAGTATGTCGATTAACCATGATAATATCTAAATAATCAAATACTTTATGAACAAGTGAAATGATGGCACAGTTTAAATAGTGCATACAACTGCGTGTGTGTTAAAATGAAACGTTCATCTTTTCACTTGTTCATAAAGTATTTGATTATTTAGATATTATCATGGTTAATCGACATAAAAGTACATACATAAGTACGATAATGGTTTTACATACAATTAAAAACAATAAACGTACAATATATGTTGATTATATTGCGTGTGTATATATATATATATATCTTACATCAATCCGAAAAACTACATGAAATGTATAGGTATTCTTTCTCATTTGGTGGAAACGGGTATTGGTGGAAAAGGGAAAGGTCTACTTTTGGTGGAAACATGTTAAGCTCGTTCATTTATAGGGAGTAACCGAATTGGTACTTTCGAATTCGTTTTTTGGTACCGAATTCGGCTTTACCTAATAAAATACTTTTTTCAGGCGGAAACCAATTCGGCACGTGGGTTTGGAGCTCGGGAACTAATTCGGTACCAGCCCATTTATATTGAATATATTAATAGTTCACATGGAACTTCAGTTTTAGAATTTATTGGGACGGACTTAGCTCGCTGGTCATCGTACAATTCCCAGATTCCGCCGTTTCTTTTGCAGTAAGCACGGTAATGTCCTATGTCGTTTATTTGTCCGTTTAATCCATGCGCGTGAGAACATATCCCTCTTAAATGGTACTGGACATTTTTCACTTTTAAAATTTGCGGCACATTTTCTAAACTTACTAAAACTTGTTGGGCCACTTCAGAATTGATATTTTGGTCGGTTATATTCTCTAAAATTACATTTAATAATATTATATAAATATTTATATGATATGAAAATGTTTCAGTAACGGTAAAATACCTTCCCAATTGAGTAATTCAATAAATAAATGTATTGCTGAAATTCTAGGTTCAATCGTTTTTATTCCTTTGCAATTTACTCCTTTTCGATTTGTATTCTGACACTTGGAAGTTTCAATCATTAATCTCGCTGTAATATCTTCTTCCAACAAACTTAAATTTCCATTCATTACAAGTATTGTTATGTACGACGATAACAAAGGATTAATCTTCGTACACGTGGGAACGGAGCATTTAATATTAGCTGTTATTGTGGGTAATTGTATTAACAATTCTTTAAGAACATTTTCCACTGTTGTTTCGCATGAAGCCAATTTCATGCCGTAATCTAAATACTCTATATTAGGTCGTAAATACTTCATCTGTAAACAAAAATAAGTTCATTTAGTTGATGTACATCACAAATTATTATATCAGAATTACAACGTATAATATCATAGAATCTACTATATGATTTTCGAAGTAACAATATAATTGATACAAAAGAATACTATAACAAAAATTATAATTTTTTTGATATCACAATGTCACATATTATAAACACATTTATTTACATTAATTGAATAAAATGTATATGTTATAAAACCAAAATTCTCATACATTATTCTTATGATAATAGAAATCAATAGAATCGTAGTATAATACTCACCTCACAACAATTGTTAAAAAAACTTTTAAGTTAAATTTTTTGCAAAAATCAACAAAAATTTGTGAATTATTTTTTGAAAAATGTAACAAAAATCATATTATCAATTGCTCGGATCGGTTTCTCTTTATATAAAGTAGGTACTTTATATATAATAAGCACCATTGCTTTATTATACATATATTATAGTTATACCAGTATTTCCGCTCGGGTCGAGTATGCTTTGGCGGAAATTCCATTTTTGACTATTCCAGCAATGAAATTTAAGAAAACGTTTCCTTTACCACCAACCGCAGTGTTATAATTAATGCTGTCGCAATATGCTACCATTAATATTGATGTAACAGAATCGAATGCACATGTGTTACACAGAATAACTTCTCCAAAGTTCCTAACCATACAACTTTTTAATTCTCCAGAAGGAGAACGTAGAGAACCATTTTTTAAAATCGGTAAAGTCTTATTTTTTTTCATATTATGTAATTTTTTTTGATGATTATTTAGGCTTGGATTGGACCGGATTCTCATCTTATCGGTTGACTTATTCCAACATTTAGTCGAAACCGTTTCTTCTGCCATAATCTCTACATCAAGAGAATATGAAATATCTGTTTCACTTATTTCTGGTATTGTAACTGAACATAAAGATCTGAATTATC